CCGAGCAGAAGCGCGAGCGCGAGCCTCCTCTCGGAGACGCGGCAGCCCGGGCTCGACGCTTGCTCTCAGGTACGTCCGCCAAATCGCTCGCGGGCGCTCGCTTTCTCCATCGCCTTTCTCCACCGATTGCCTTTTTTTTTTTTTTTCATGATGATGATGCTGACGACACGAGAGCGCCGACCGGGTCCGTATCGCGATGGCGCTCGGTGTTGGGAAAGGGGGAGACGCCGCTTTGGCTCCCACGTGACTCAAGTGGCTCCTGACGGACGAGGCAGAGTTGCCGCATCGGGATAAACTGCGGACTTGTTCTCATGGAGTTTTTGTCAGCGGCGACGATGCCGAGTGCTTTTTTTTTCCTCTGACGTCACGCAGGAGGACGATCGCTGTCAATCGCGGGCGCGATTTTGGGAAAGCGGAACGCCCGAGTCGCGTCCATGCCGAGCGCCCCTGAAATTCTCCCTTTCGTCGTCGTCGCCGGTCTGTCACTCGTCAATTCCCGCGGGAAATTTGGCAAGGGACCGCCGGAGTTGCGAGCGGGAATTGCGCCTGCGACTTTCAAGCGTGGACGCGAGCGCTTGGCTTTGCGCAGAGCCGAAGCGCAATTCTTTGGTCTGCGGCCGAGTTGCCGGAGAATTGCCAGTGACTTCTTTGGCTCGTTTCAGCACGTCACATTTCTGCTTTTTCCGCCGTGGCCACATGTCAAGGTTGGCGCAACAACGACTTTGCAGCCTCCCCCGCGGTCGCGCTTGTTCCAAAAATCTTTTTGGGGTTGTTGAATGTCATCCATCGGGTGCTTCTCGTCCTCTCCCAGTTTGGGGCCCGTTTTAGTCCGCGTCCCCGCCATCAATCACGTGTCCGCTGTACTTTTGCGCTCCCCGAAGACAATTCGGTGCACTGCGGGAACAAGGGGAGGGCACGGGGGGGGGGGTCGCCATCTTTCTTTTGATCCCACTTACTTTTGTTCCGCGTCATGTCATCTTTGTCCTCTTTTTCCGCATCACATCAGCTCCTCCGTTCCATCAATCGGCTCCCTCCGGGCACTCGTGTCTTGTCCGGCCTTGTCGTCTCGCTAATTGGTTTGTATGTTGTTCCGTCGGCGCTCCGCCGGTTTTGTCAAGTTCGCTTTGAATCTTGATGTTTGATCGCTTGCTTGCGCCCCCCCGAGTTGAGGTCTTTCCACCAAGCCCTTTTCTTTGTTTTGGGCAGAAGTACTTGCTTCCGACACAATTACCCGAAAACGAGCGAAATGACTGTTTTCAACTGACTGTGCTGCATTTGTGGCACGACTAGTTTTGTTTTGTTTTTCAAAAAATGATTTGCCGAGGTGTTTTGACACCAATCTCTGGGGTAGGGGGTGGGGGGGGCAACACAAGGGACGGCAGTCCCGCAAATGACACAAAGGACAATTTTCACACGAGGACATCGCACAAATGGGCAATCTTGCCGAATTGCCCAAGTGACAATTTGATCAAAGTTTGTTGCCTTGAACTTTTTCACCGGCATTCTCTTTGAACCGAAGAAATAAATCGCGTCCGAGGACAGCAACCTTCAGCTGGATGTGAACTAAATGTCCCCGTCTGCGATGAGTGACGAAAAGCACGTCTGCCATTTGCAGACCGCAAGTGTTGCCCTTCCTCCAACTTGATTTTGTTTGTTGCCATCGGCAGCTTCGGCTCATCCCGCTTTCCTTTCGTGGCCCCGAAAAACGCTCGCGGGTGTTTGGTTTGTCCGTTCGCTTTGCGGCTTTTGTCCGCCAGCGAAGCGGTCGCGCGGCTCTCGACTGCTTTGGAAGGCGCCGATTGCCATGGCAGCCTCAGTCCGCCGAGGAGTTGCTGAGTGGGTGGCGGAGGAGGTGGCGGATGACGAGCGAGTGTCGCCGTCACTCGTTGTTGCCATGGCGACTCCATCTGTTCCATGCGCGCGCGCGTCCTCGTAGGTTGGCTTCATTTGTGCGCGTGCGCGCCCAAATGCGCCATGCGTCAGCGGACGACATTTGGAGCGTCCGTCCTTCCTCCGTGAGAGGGACTGACCGCCGCGATGAAAATGGCGCAGCGGGAGGAGGGCGGGAGGGCCTCTCTGCCGCTCGTCTTCTTGCAAACGATGCGCTCAAATTGATGGCGTGAGTTTCGCTTTCAAATTCGTCAACGTGCCTGAAAGTTCCTTCCCCGGAGTGTTCAAACTCCCATCGGGGAAGCAAAAAATCGGGTCAAGCGTCACACGCAAGCCATTTGGACTTGGAAGCCCAAAAAGTCAACGCGGGGTGTTGCCGGAGTCGGGGTCGCCGAAAGGCCGTGAAAACACGGCGGCAACAGCCCCCCGCCCCCAGCGCACACCCCCGCGCACGCGCCCGGAACGCACAAACAAACGCCTCCGTCCTTCCACCGATGCGTCACAAGCGTTTCTCTGCTCGGCACGAAGCCTCCCGACACAAATTCAGGAAGCAAACCAATGCAAAATAGCGCCCCTGATTTGCCTTCGCGCTCCAAATGCAGTTCTTTGGAAAACCGCTTCAAACAAAAAGGCACTTTGTGTCTTTTTTTCATTTGGGGCACAAATGAAGACGCGAGACCAAAACTCCACATCTTTTCTTTCCTCATTTGTTCAGAAAGCCGCTTCCGACCGAAGCGACCCGGCCTCGCCCGGCGGCCCCGACGGCGCCGTTTGCGACGACGGCGGCGTCGCCGTCCGGGAAGAGACGGAAGCCGTCGCGTTGGAGGAAGGACGCGAGGGGCTCCGACGAAACGAGTCCGTCGCTTCTTCCGTGTCGGACACGCTCTCCAGTGCCGAAAGCGTTTGCGAAACCGAGGCCCACCGCCGGACGGAGCAAGGGGGGGATTCGGAGCGGCGCGGCGCGCCATGGAGGGACGCGGACCCGCCGAGGCCCCTCCCACCCTCGGGGCCAGAGCCGGACGCGCACCGGGAGCCGTCGGCGGCCCTCCGCCGATTCCCCGATGAGGAAGACGAACCCGATCGCGCCGACGAGGGCGAGGGCGATTTGGAGGAGGATGAAGAGCGGGACCCAGAAGTCCCCGGCGAGCCCTCGTCGCCGCCGCTTCCCCCGGCAGTCATGGGAGAGGAGGCTCTGTCGGATATATCCAGCGAGTCCTGCCCCGACGTGGCCCCCGATGACGCGGACGAGTGCCTCCGAGTCGAAATCGCAGCCGCCTCCTCCGACAGTGAGACGGATGAGAAATGGAGGGCCGTCTTTTCCTCCTCCATCAATAAAGAAGACGACGACTCCTATCTGGACGCTCTCCACTTAAGCGCGCGGGAGCTCTTTGTGCAGAAAGTCCAAGCGACGGACTCGGAAGACCGAGGGGACGACGACGGCGACGCCCGACCGAGCCCGCCGGAAGCGGAAGGGCGGCCGGAGGCCTCGTCCCTCGCGCCCGCCGTCCCGGAGGGGGAAGACGGACGCGGGAGAGCCCAGCGCGACGACCCCGGCCCTCGGGAGCCGCGGGCGCACGGGGCCCGGGATCCCAACAGGAGGCTCCCCAAAGACTTCTGCGTGATACAAGAGACCACCAGCGAGAACGTCAGCACGGAGCACGTCGACTTCCAGTCGGCGCGCAAGCAGTGGCGGGCGATGGAAGAGCAAAGCAACAACAACAAGGCGCTGCTGCCCGCCGCCCGCCGGCCCGATCCCCACGCCGGCCACGCTCGCATGTACGCGCCGGTGCGAAACGCGGAGAGAGCCGACGGGAGGGCCCGGGAGGCGGAGCCCTCCGCGCCGCAGTTCAGCCCGTGCTCGGAAGATTCCGGCCTGGACGATTCCACTCCCAGGTCGCCCGACGACGAGGCGGAAACGCCGCCGGAAAGGGAGGGAAACGCCCCGCCCCCTGCCGCGCCCTCCCTGGTCATCACGCCCTCTCCCGGCAGGGAGCCGCCGACAGACCAGCCCGAGGTGGAGCCCGGCGGTCCCGGCCAGCGGCGCTCCGAGGACCTCGTCGTCCCGGAGCCCTCCAACGCGATCGTTCGCAGCGCTTCCGAGTTCTCGCTGGACAGAGCCTGCCAGCCCCAAGAGAAAATGTTCCCCAGCAACCCCTTCTTCAAGCTGCGTTCGCGAAGCAGCGTGTCCCTGGTGGACGAGGAGATCCGAGTGGTGCGGCGACGAGAGGAAGAGCTGCGCAAGGACAGGGCCCGTCTTTACGGCCACGCCCGCCCGGCCGACAAAAGGATGCTGCTGTCCAACAACTCGGCCACTTTGTCGCTGGATCGCCCGGGTAAGCGTGCCTGCGCGCTCGTCTTGGAGACTGGGACTCAACGCTTTCTGTGGCTTCTTTTGTTTTTTCTTCCAGCTTCATCGCCAATGAAGTGCAAGTCCTCGCCATCGTCGCCGATGAAAACCCCCAAAATGGATCGCTCCACTCTGTCCTGCGATCACAGAGTAAGTCAGCCCCGGCAAACGCCTTGTTTGGTCGCCCATCGACCGCCCTGTTTTTTTCCAACAAATTGTCAATGACGGCCTTGGAACGGGGCAACGTAACGGCGGGTCTTTGTCAGTTTCCAGAGGGCTGCGTCGCGGGAAGACGCAAGAGCGCCATGGCTCTGCGCTGGGAGGCGGGCCACTTCACCAAAAATGACTGACGGGGAAACCGCGAGACGTCCGTCGTCCATTCCAAGTGTGAAGGACGCCCCGCTGCCAATTGTCGTGCCGTGTCTCCATTTAGTTCTTCATTTTCTCGCATCCGGTCGATGTTTCGGTCTTGCTTCGGGTTGATTGAAACGTGCGGCGCTGCAAATAACCGACAATCGTACGCCCTCTCTGCAAAGGTTCGGCAATGTCAGCGCGTGCCTTCGAATGGCGGCAAAGCCTGATTTTTTTTTTTTCTTTTCCCCCCCACCTAATTGAGGCTCTTCGGTTCCCTTCGACTCGGTTCCGCTTCCACTCGCGGCTCTCCTGTTGTGCATCCGCGCTGGCAAATGAGGCGTCAAACGGTCGAGCGGGGACGTTTCCGAGCGAGCGCGCCTTACCCGCGAGCCTTTTTGCATTTTAACGGCGGGATTTCTGGAGTGTACTTGTGCTCCGGTCCGAAAAAGACATCGTGAGGAATCGGAAGGAGGAAAATCCGCAGCCTGGTCCGCCAAGCTGATGTGGCACGTCTTGGCCAAAAGGCGGCGCACGCGAGCTCACGTCATCTTAACGCGCTGCGCAAAAGGGCGTCGCTGCTTCCGCGTCCGGTCCCCCGCCGAGGTAGGCCACCGTTTCCTTTTCACCAACTCACTCGCAAACTTTCGTCTCCACCCGATTTGACGATTTCGTTCGCGTAAGGGGGCCCTTGTGGCCGTCGCTCGCGCTGGCGGGGGGGGTGGGGGGGCTGTTGTGCGCGCATTCGTGGGCGCGGGATTCGACCGCGCTGGAATTGCAACATCCGAACATCATCGCAAGACCGGGCTCGGTAGTTTGTCCCTTGCTTTTTGTCTTTTCTTCCTTCCCCGAACTGCCTTGGATTTCAGGCGGCGTTTTTGCTCACGTGGCTTTTGTCCTCGGACCAAAGCAAGCGTTCGCACCGCCGACTTGCCCAAATGTGCGCGCGTGTGTTTTGTGTTTGCTAAGCCGCGGTCGCTGCCTTCAACGTGAAAACTAGTTCTTGACATTTTGATGTTGCTATCGGACGCGCTACTTGAGACGCTCATGTTGCATTGTGGCTTGATGTCCTTTTTTGCCACTTTACGATGAGCAAAAACATTGTTCCAAACGGTTTGCTCAAATGTGCCATGAGGTTGTTTTTTTTATTTCGTTTTCTAATGTCAAAGAGTGACTCTCTGATATGAGCTGTGTGTGGATATTTATATGAATGAATGAATGAATGCTAGGAGACATTTTCAACTGAAAGCCCTTCGAAACGTTTTTTTTTGGGGGGGGGGAGTCAAGCAGCTGAAT